TCCCCAAACCTGAGACCATGCAAAAGAGTGCCAAATTCGTATCCCAAATTCATCAAAGATGTCCGAGATTCTGAGTGAAGTTATGAGTGTTATGAACCAACGAATGAACATGTTCACTTGCTGAGAATGCCATAGGGATGGATCAACAATGATCAATATACCCATAAATATCCATAAATAATGATCAATAATGATCAATAATGATCAATATAGGAATTTTTCAGGGGATGAAGATCCATTTATATCCATTTAGCAGCTATTTTGATGTGAACTTTCCATGTTTTTTCACTGGTTTTGACCCATCCCCCGGGGTCCCCATAGCTATTGCCAGACCTCCCAGCACCTGCACGTGGGGAGATCCGTGTGGCGTGGCCCCGACGGTGGTTTTTGATGAGCTCAGCAGGGGTCCAGATATGGCCAACATGGGGACTTTAAGGCCAACTAGACCCTCTAAGTACATATAGAATAATTGGGGTAATATATGATTTACATATAATATATAATATGATATATATATATATATATGATATAATATATATATATGTATATGATATATATATATATGTGATATGATAATATATTATATCCATATTGTTTTGCGACTTTCAGCCATTTTCATGGGTACTTGGAGGGCCTAGTGGCAGAAATATGGAGATGCAAGCAGTCGTAGTCATCATGGGGGTTCGATGGTTGATGATTTCAAGACCTCACGAACATTGGCTATCCCATAAAAGCTGGGCTGTGGCCCTACTGTAGTGACTCTCCAACTTTCCAAGTAGGTTTGTCTGAAAGTATGCTATATCATTCTCAATCATGATGTTCAATGGATTATCACACTTTTTTAATCGTTTTAAAATCATGATCAATATATTATCATCATTTGGAATGATGCTGATGCTTCAAGGATTACTTACCTTTTTAGTAATATGTAGTCATCATGTTTGATTTTGTCCTATTTTCCCCTATTTCAATGGCCAAAAACATGTGGAGGCCGATCTTGACCGCGCCAGGCGCGAAACCAACGTGGGCAAACTGGCCGGCAGCATCGCACGGCGGCTGCGCCAGGAGAACGTGGCGATGGCGCACAACCTGGGACGGAAGGGGGGATTTTTCAACCACTCGGTGGCTCGTCTCATCTCAGTTTTTGTGGGTAATAAGCCCAGTTATAAGTGCGAACAATGTTGGTTTTTGATTGTTTTTGTGGCTTATAACATGTTATTTTTGCCCAGTTATAAGTGGATGAAGCCTAGATCTCTCACTTATAACTGGGGTTATAAGACACTGGGATGAACCACCCATCCCCAAGTTTGCTAGCTTTATGGCAGCCCGGGTGAACTCCACAGTAGTCCTGTTCGACATGGTATGAACAAATGTAGGATGTATGTCGATATGATACATATTAATCCTACTTTTGTTCCTAAATTTAGTGACTAATAAGAAATTAATAAATGTATGTCTCAGATTAATGAAGATAATGTAGGAATATAGATAGATTGATAAATATTAATAGTACATACAGTACATACGCTGCAGTTGGGGACTGCTGAGCTGGCAAAATCCCCCACAAGGCGGGACTTGGACTCCAGTAGATTCCTGAGAGGGTGAAAAGCCTGGGTCCCTCCTGCCATGAAATTGAAATACATTGAAAATATATATATAATTAATTATAATTATATATATTATTATATATATATATTATATATTATATATTATATATTATATATTATATATTATATATTATATATTATATATTATATATTATATATTATATATTATATATTATATATTATATATTATATATTATATATATGTATATGTATATGACTATATACTGTAGTATTATCAAAAAGGTACAAGAGCAACATCAATTTGACCTTCGCCAGGTGCGGGGAGCCGGTGCGGTCCCTCTGAAACTTCAGCTTCGGGGCATTGCCATAGCGCAGCTGGGACAGTTGGGGAACAGTTGGGGGACAGTTGGGGTCTGCGGCTGATTTCTCGGCTCATGACTTTTCGGGATTTTAGGGGTAACTATTCGGAAGAAGCCTTATTTCAGGTTGGTGAAGTATAGTATAGTAATTTTCCGATACCCCAAGTGATTGGGTGATTGGGGTATTTAGTCTCGAAATCTTGCCGACTTTTAGCTGACCGACACCCGAAATTCTTCTGGAACTTGGCCCCTTTCGCCCAGCGAGGTCCGAGTATCTGGAAGAGCGCAAGGAGCTGGTGACGGAGCTGGCAACCTTGCTTCGCATGGTGCCTGGGCGAATGGGTGTCGGGATCACCCGATCAGTCGTGAGAGTCGTGAGCCAATGATTTTTAAGGAGATTATTGAGTGGGAATATTTGGGATAACCTGAATTACTGGAGGGTCTATTTGGGATACTAAAGATTTTGATCATTAAGAATTAAGTGACTGATTCATTAGGGTTCAACCAGCTAGTAAGTGGGAAGGTCCTCGAAGCACACTCATGCCCTTCAACACCCAATCAGTGAAGCGGGGGTCGGATCAACAGGGGGCCGTGGCCCTTCTGCAGCGACCCCTTTGAGGGGATGGACTGTCACAAAGTGAATCACTAAACCAAACATGTTGCTTCAGTGGATCTTCAATTCTCATCGCATTAATAGATGATGTACTGATGATATAGATGATTTTCCATTGATTTTCCCACTAACACCTCCATCTGGTTCGCGGATTTCCCAGCCATGTTTGATGACACCGGAGGGTATGTTCAATGTGGATCTGTAGGATTTACCACTGTCACCACTGTCGCCCCGAGAACCGCATCCGACAGGAGGAAGTGGAGGAGAATGGCTACAAACTCACCGAGAACCTGCTGACGGTCTACAAACTGCCCCCTGCCAAGGAATCCGGAGCCGTGATTGGTGTAACGCCTTAGGACATGGGGATGGCAGGAATTGGCCACAGTCCCTCGCACCATGGGACCCACATTGTCCACAGGGTCTTGAACACGGTGCATGTGAACATTCTGTTTATTCATGTTATGTACTTACCGTATTTATTGTAATCCTGTGGTTAAAACAATAATAAATCACACCATTTTTGATGGTCTATACTATATACTACCCATATACTACCCATATACTACCCATTTATGGTGATTTGGGGGATGGTTTATTATCGTTTTACCTACATTCATCATGAAACTATTTGCATCTCGACGCTGATCCGATGGCTCCTCATTTCAGATCCTCAAATCCACAGCCGCCACAGGAGCCGACCTGAATCACCCAGTGTCAATGGTGAGCACGTAGGGAGTGTAGATGTTTGCGGCATCATGTGGGCTCCAAAATTCCCTATCCCAGAATTTGGAAAGAAGAAACAGATAGAACCAGTATCAACGTATCCACTGTAATAAATTTTCTGGATGTTTATGGTCAATGGATTGTTGGTTTCTCAATGGATGCATCAGGGTACCCGCTGATTTTGGATCCCCATGGTAGCTGGCAGCTGTGGTGCAAAGGCACACCCCGGATTCCACCCTTTCGCCGGCGATCGAAAGTTCCAGAGTGTGGCACTTGGCACTTCCATCATTGGTTGAAGGGAAAATCGAAACTGGAAACCATAGGTTTTCCCATGAAATATGGGGATTTTCCCATGAAGATCATGGGGATTTTCCCATGAAGATCATGGGGCTTTCCTGTAAACATTTCCCGACTAAGACCAATCCATTGAATCTTCCATCTCTGGTGGGGGTGGTCTATGGTTTAGGGCTTACCAATGCCAGGCAGAGAACGCGAGGCTGCTCTTATCACAGTCGCTTGGCTTGGACCGCAGGTGCAATCGGGAAAGAAATCGAGGCCCGACTATCCTTGTGAATGTCAATATTGTGATGTTTAGGATTGGGATTGTTATGGTTATCTTCTAATCCCTTCCCCCTGTTACCTTCTATTAGAAGGTAATATATCGTAATTATGGTATATTATGGTTACCTTCTATTACCTTCTATGTAATCCCTTCCCCCTATTACTAAACCGTCCCCCCGCCCAAAAAAATAAAACACCTGGGGAGTCTTTTAGTATTAGGTGGTATTTAGTATTAGGGTGCGAAGCTTACACTACAATATATATATACAGTATATATATACATATTTCGACGTTAAAAGACGGACCCTGATAAAAAAACACACCGGGGTTGACTAGTTTTTATTATTAGGGGGGGAACCCTGAAATGGGACCTTTATTTTTAATTTGTTTTCCAAAATTTAACGCGGACCCTAGTTTTTAGTATTTTGGGTATGTTTAGTAAAAGAAGGTGGGGATAATATCATTTTATGATCCTTTATAAATACAGTAAAACATATTATATAAACATATTACAATAGTCAAGTGTAGACCAACCTTACAATATTATTCACTAGCCTGAAACTACAAAACAGTTTATTTTGTTTCAGGCTAGTGCATTATATGGTAATTCATCCATTTGCCAATGATTATCATCATTTTTCCCGGAGGCTTAAAGGCCATCACTGTGTTTGGGCCACCAGCAGTTGACTGAGTGGCCGGGCTCAGTTGTGATTTTGGTGGGAACTGTCTTGCTAACTAGAAAGCCGTTCTAGTTGATCACTGGAGTTTTCAAACTTCAGTTTGCCGCAGCAGACCACTTTTTTCACAGCCTCAAGTGGACTTAAACAAGTGCAAGCTGGAAGCCAATGTTCTTTAAGATTTGTTTCTATTCAAGTGTCAAAACTATGTGTCAAGCAATAGAGTTGAACAGTCACCGAAGATGCCTCGCTTCCAACATTGACAGCTCACAGTTGCCTGGAACACTTGAAACCCCTCCATGATCATCACGCAGCATCCAAATCATGACCATCATAACCATATCTGTGTTATACCATCCAACTTCTATAACCATCGATATTGTTTTCTATGAAATGTGTTCTTTACCTGTTGTAGACACGTTTTCCACTGTGTTAGCAATCTGAGCTAGGCTAAAGGTTGTTCCATTTTCGCTAGAAACTGCGCGCGCAAGCGCGCGTCATGTCGGATGGTGCAGCCGTTCCAGCAACGGCTGCAGGGTCAACGGGTGAAACAGACACCCTGGAGGAGACCGCGCAGCAAAGGGAAGAACGTCAGTTTCAGGTGGGTCTGCCAAAAAATAGGAGCCCTACCCCCAAGTGGTTAAATCCGATGAACATGGTTGGCTTCCATATGGTTCCACCCAAAGCTACCAGTGGACTCCCCATTTGGCATGCATTTGCTGCTTAAATCCTCACATTTGCAGGATGTTCATTTATTCTAATCAGCATTTAGCTTTATGCAAATGTCATTCCTCGTGTTTCCTACACTCCTGAAATCGTTACAACTTGATCTCTTTTCTTTATCGACATGCAGAAATTCCATGAAATTCCTAATACCCTCCTGAAATCCTTGGATTTCCTATAAGATTTCCTGGTACACCCCCCATTTTTTTCGGTGTTTGGTGCCCCGAAATCGATGAACTGCGAGGCGGCCTCTGCTGCCACCACGCTGTCACGTCGCCTCTCGAAACAGCAGAGGAAGTCAGCCGCCGCGTCAAAGGTCCCTGCGGTGAGGCACCGATGGAAACGAAACAGCAGGAAGTGAACGGAACTGAAGCTTTTGCTTGGGTGACTTCGGTAGATTAGATTTTGCTCCACCAGTTTTGTCCACCACTTTTGAAAGCCACTGTAGTATGATATGTGTGTGGTGTATTAGTGGTGTATTAGTGGTGTATTAGTGGTGTATGTGTATAACATGTCAACTCACCAACGTGTACCATGACTATTGGTTGTGGGGATAGGGGCGAAAGGCGGATGGTGTGTGATGGTTGTAGTAAATCCAACTCGATAAACCGTTTCGGTAAACCATCCTAAATATTACCATATTATTTTACCATGAGGACATTTTTTTTATGGTAAATGTAATATGATGTATATATTGATGGTATATGGTGGAATATTGATGATGAATGTATATATCTCGATGATAAAACCATATATATATATATTAGTTATCATAATCAATATATTGATTATATGGATTATGATTTATCATATTTTATCATGATTTTCTATTAGTTATATTATTGATCTAATATCACTTCTGGAGGCTTTTTTAACGTTGAAAACTCACCCATTTTTACTGGGGCCAGGTCCGATTTCTTCGTAGAATGCCCGGGATGCCCCGAGGTGTGGCGTTCTCGTGGGGAAACACCATGACTGGTTGGTGCTTTGGAACGTTGTTTTTTTATCATAGGAAAACCATAGGAAAACCATAGGAAAACCATAGGAAAACCATAGGAAAACCATAGGAAATGGTTCATGATTGCTATTAATGATGGTTATTAATGATGGTTATTAATGATGGTTACTGGTTGGTGCTTTGGAACATGACATTTGTTAGTTTCCCCAATAGTTGGGATGATGATCCAATCTGACTAAAATATTTTTCAGAGGGGTATACCACCAACCAGCCATGATAAACCACAAGAATTCTTGGGTTTTCCCAACGCCAGAGTGATGGGTATGGCGGGCATGAGACTCAAGCAACCTGAGTGCTTGACCTTCGCCCGTTCTTCCTATGGTACGCAAAAAAACTCACGTAAGCGTGGGTTAAAATTGCGGAAACAAAAAAATCTGATGTTACATATTAGATAATTGGATATGCAATGACTTAATATATGATATTATATATATTTAATAGTAATTATATTACTTCTTACACATATGCATCCGAATTCTCAATCCAAGGCGCAGCCAAAGCCTCGACAGAGCAAAAGCGAGACAGGCCGTTGTCGGCCTCACCAAAGATGCCCAGATTTTGGTGGTGGAGAGGTTGTTTGAACAATGATTATTGCTGAAAAACCAATGAAAAAACCAATGAAAAGCCATAGATTCTGATATTTTCATCAACTGATAGTGATTATCAACATGGTGACACCGATGATACCAATGATGTGTGTCAATGTTGATTATTGATGAGTATGAGTTGGCATTGATTTATATAATATATCATCTGGTTATTTAACATAGCCATGGAAAATCACCATGCTATTAATAGGTAAACCATCTATTTCTATGGGCCATCTATACCATGGCTATGTTAAATAACCAGAGGGTATATATATAGTTATTGATGATGTTTGGCATTCTCAGTTGGCCACTGATTCGGCCACGGCTTGGCTGGTCATCTTCATGGGGGAGCAACCAGCAACCGTTGTGAGTTGGGGGATGACCAGTTGGGTGATTTTTGTATATGTATGTCTTCACATGTATCATATTATATAATTATATTGATATATATATATACACATATATATTGATATATATATATATATTTGGAATGTAGAATTAGTATGCGCATGCATACGTAATCATATGTGTATATTAGTATAATGCATGTAGTATTGTTGGACACAACCATATTGTCAACATAAATATTACAATGAACGTTTATACAATCAGAAACAATCCCCAATTTGGATTTAGTGCATTGTTGGGTATACTTAGTATACTTGCATGGTTGGTTGCTGGAGAGGGTTTAGTAGTAGGGCTACCACATCAATGGCACATGGCTGTATGCATATCAATGTATATATTGATACCTTATATCCTCCAGCAAACTAACGTAGAGACATATACATGGAAAACAAGAGCTGTTTTTTTTTATGCGCAGAGAATCCACTGGAAGGTAAGCATTCCATATTATCAATGGTTTTTTTCGCCACCAGTTGCCCCAGAACTCGGCACTGGCAGGCCTGATGGCTCTGATGGAGGACATCCTCCCCAGCAATTGCGCCTGAGCTCCCTGCGGGGCCACGTTTGGAGATTTCATGGGGTTTTAATGGCATGAAATGTTGGCTTTAATGGGATTTCACTAAACCTGTAGGTTTATATAATGGGATTTACTGGGATTTCATGGGATTTCAACATCAAGAGTGAAAATAATGGGCATAGAATCTAGATGACAATAAACACCTCACTGTGACATCGCTGTCAATTATGGTTTAATATGGTTTATATATATATATACTGTATATATATATATATAATATATATATTATATCTATGGGTAACTCTTCGAAACTCGCCAACTTGGTGAAGTAGTCCAGCAACATGCCAGGTTGGAAGATAAAGGTCCACAGCTGGTAGGTAGACAAGGTAGACAATCTAGGCTTGTTTTTTTTCTAAAAGGTGTGGAATTGTAATCCAGAAGAGTGGTACCTCATACTTTCGTCAGCTCCCCCCCTTTGTGTCTCGTTTTGTCACGCCTTTGAGGTGTGCTTCGAAGGAATGGCTGTTGGCCAAAGAAGAAAGCGAAAAGAACGGTGAAGCACCTCTGCTCAACTCCCCTGGAGAACGATCGGATAGGCGTGTGTGTGTGTAGAGCAAGGGATGCTAAAACAATCTAAAACAAAATGAAGGAATCAGAAACGCATGGCGTTTTCAACATGGGCCATGACCTCTTGAAGTCACCATTGGCTCCCTGATGGAAGTCGGCCTCAGCCAAGGTAAAGGTGCAGATGGCCGGGAAAAACGGCACAGTTTGAGGGGCAGTGAAGCAGATGTACAAGTCCAAAAGATAGTTGAGTTGAAACAATTGAAACTTGGAGATGTGTAAGATGGGCACCGTTTGAAGGACCACCGGCATAGAAATCAACGGGTTTCACCGGCTGCTGTTTTTGCAGGTCAATTCAACCAGCCTCAGTCCTCTTGGGCAGAGTCCCAAGTTGGATAGTTTGGCCTCGGCCAAGCCGTGTGCCCGGTGTGTCGGCCAGCGCCCGTTAAGCACCAACTGGTCATGCTCCATAGCCGCGCTTGTTAACGGACCTTCAGGGCACGGCCCTGACCGCATTTTCTGGCGAAAAGACTGTGGGGAAGTCGGTTGGATGGTCCTTGGATGATCGTTTAGCAAAGCGCTACATCCCATGAAATAGGAGATTAGGAACCCAGAAAAGGGCGAAAATGGCAATTTCCATAGGGAAGATATGGGAAGATAATCTTCGAAATGCCTTGTTTCGCTGATATTTTGAGAATGGGATGTCTAGTTATCTCAAAGCACGAGCGACTCAGAGCGACTCAGAGCGACTCGACAGGAAAGTATCACAATGAATTCACAATGGTTTGTTGGGGCTTCCACTGATTCTTAATATTCTTAGGGAGGTCTTGGAACTGACAGCTGACGTACAAGAATCAAACATAATCAAACTATATATTTTGAGACAAACCCCAATGATAATATTGGAATATATTGGATAACAGCTGGATTCTGCAGCCATTGAACGGCTTTCCTGTTAGCTTTCAGCATCTCATGGCCAGGCTGCATCTCATGCATGCGCCAGACGGTCAGACCCACCATTCCCTCCAAGCACAAGCCCTTTCCCACCATGGCATACACCAAATATCATCGAATCATATCGAATCATAGTACATGTTGGTCTCCTGAGGCAAAACTTCAGTGTGACCACTCAAACATCTTCACCTTTTCCATCCTTTTCCATTTCAATAGCTCTATAATGCTCTATAGGGTAGCTCTAAATCCACTGGTGAATCATCACCTCTCTCAAAACGGCCATAGATTGGAGGTATAAATATCTCCAACACCTGCAGCTTCAGATTTTTCCATTTGGATTTCACAGAATTTCCCATGGCAACGGCCGGACATCGCCATGTGCGATGTCAAGGAGCTCTTCAGCCCGCAGCGCCAGCGGCTGCTGCACGGTGCGCCGGAGCCGCTCGCGGAGCCTCCTTGGCCGCAGCCAGCGGCCACGTTGGCCACGTGGCGCGCCTTTCCGGACCCGGCGGTGAAGCAAAAGCTGCAAGAGAAGGCCATGGAAACCATGGAGAGGTTGCAGAAGTGCTTCAGCCACTTCGTATCCACTTCATTACTTGGTTTTATTTGACTTTTTGAAGTCAATGAATGTTGAGACTCAGTTGTTTGTTTTTTTTGGGGGGAAAGGGGATTGGGGCGTTCTGATGGAAACATGATGGAAGCTGTTTGTTGGCGTGTCTGAAAATGGCATCATGCCATTCCCAACCTCCAATTTATGGCACTGGGGAGGAAACGCACAATTTTGGCACAAACCATCATGATGAAATGGGGAGGGTTCCGGGATGTGCAAGAGGTTTTTCGAGTTGGTGGTCGACCGGGGGAAGCAGGCAAACGTTGACCGACTGTTTGATGCAAAAAACAGAAACACCGTGCTGGGTTGTGCTCAACCCAGCCATATCTTGACATGCAAAAAACAAAAAAACATACATCAAAATGAGTGCCTTTCTTTTTGTCCCAATTCTGCTAATCAGATGATGATTTGTTGTCTTGGCCGAGATAGGCTGATTCCATTCGCCAGATGCATTGAGGTGCCCTGCAACTCTGCCACCGAGATATCTCTGGTAGTCGCCATTCCTTGCGGCAGTGTCGGAACCTCTTGGAGTCGCATCAGGCACCCAAAACTCCCTGGGTTTGGAGTATGACCACCCCAAAAAATGGCATGTCATCCCCAAGTGCGCAACACCAGCTTGGACATGCTTGGACTGGAAAACTATGATTTCTCTGCAGCTCCAACCTTCCACATCAAATCAAACGAAACAGTGGTTTCCCGGCTTCTCTTGTATGTCCGACCCCAAGATACGGAAAGGTTTCAGCCCTCAACATTCTGAATCCTTTAAGGCAATTTCATCCCACTATAATTACTATCAAATATATCTCAAATATATCAAATACCCCTAAGTAGGACCACCAAATAGATAAGATCAATTAATTACATTCCGCCAAGTTTTTGCTTCGGGGTGTTTGAAATTACTGGGATGGATAGGGATGGGATTTCTGTACTTTCCGTAAATCGAAGCACTTCTGTTAGATCATTCCATCGTTTGTGTTGGCTATATCATGTTACTCATGTTAGATCTTGCTGAAGCACAATTATACATGTATATATATATATATATTATTATATTATAATATATATATAATGAAATAATTATATATATACATATACATGATATGTAGCAATACATATATATATACACATATGATATCCCCATCACACCCTCTACATTAGATCCATGCTTTCCTCATGCTTCCTCTAGATATTTTCATATTACGGTCAAAATAAGCGTAGACTGCTACTTTAGAACGGGAGGGTCCAGTCGTGTTGGGAAAGGGCACCAAACCAGCGATAGGCCCCCCAAAACCGATAACTTGCAACCATATGAGAGTGCATTAAACTTGGCATAAACCAAGCAAATATTGTTGTGTGCCTTCATGCGATGGGCAAAATTGATGAAGAAAATTTAACCTGCAGTGTCCACGTTTCTTGCAGTTGCCATATCATGTGTTGTCCAACCGAATTCTTGATTTTTTTGCGAAATCTAATTCCGAATTCCGTTTTCGTGCTTTTTTGTTTCATTTTCCCTTAGAAAACCCTCATCTTCCATCATCTGTCTATCTTTCTGACCCCAAAAAACACCGCAGGCCTCCAGTTTGGCCGTCTGCGAGCTGCTGACGGACTGGGCCGACTTGGGCGCCATGGCCCTGGCGCAGCCAGCAGGCCCTGTCGGCCGCTGCCGGGGACGGCGACCACGGTGCTTCTTCTGCCGGGAACGACGAGCACTGGAGGATCCAACGGGGAAGTGGGTTATAACCCCAGTTATAAATGGGATAAGTAGGGTTAATCCACTTATAACTGGGGTTAGAACCCACTTACTAAGTGGGATGAGCCACCAAGTAGAATTTTCCGATATGTTCTGAAAACTGAAAGTGTCTGAACTTTTGCCATCTTCTAGTCTTAAGCAATATCTTGCCGTCGCTGTGAAGTTCTGCGCTGCTAGTGAAACGTTCCTATATGTTTGTGCTGTGGAACTTGTACTGTAGATTATACTGTGTATGGTAGTTGCCACAATTATAGAACGGAAGTTGAAGAGTACGAAAGTACGGTTGTTTACCGTACCCTGTTGTGCCATAATTCCCGTTTCCTCAGAACGTTGGGAAAAACCTTACTCTCAACTTACTCCTAACTTTTTTGTCGTTCTATAATTCTTGTTTGTGTTACATAATTGTGTTTCGCCAATGTTTCTCACATTTACCTGTTCTGTTCTATAATTGCGTGTTCTATAATTAAATTTGCAATAATTCCGTTCTATGATTCTGGTTTCTATATGTATTATAGGGTCCCAGAAGATACTTAAAATGATGTAAATACATGTAAGTAACCTCCAAGACTCACACAATCTGCATGTTGCCGGTGGTTTCAATGGGAATTTGAGGAGCACAACTTAATTATAGAACAGCCAAAAAATAATTATAGAACAGGATCCGAATCCGCACGGAATCATTCGGAGGAGTACAAAAGTACGGTATTTTACCGTACTTTTGTACTCCTAATTCCGTTCTATAATTGTGGCAACTCCTGTACATCTTTGTACAAGACAAAACTAGTTGATTTTGGAATTGAACACTTAAGGGGTTTTTACTCCAGGCAAGTATTGGTACATATAACTAGATGTTACTTGATGTTTTCATTGGCAGAAGCATACGCGGTTATGGTGAAGTGATCGCCGATCGCCTCCATTTTGCGTAGAGTCACCACATGGAGTGAGTCGATCTTTAGCCTCTATGAATTACATTGATTGCATTATATTAAGATTTAAATTATATACACAGTATATAATTATACATATATATGATTAACTGTTACATCATATACTGGTTGGTGGTTTGGAACATTTTTTTTTTCCAAAATAGTTGGGATGATGATCCAATCTGACTTTCATATTTTTCAAGATGGTTAAAACATGTTAAAACCACCAACCAGATACATACATATATATATTATGAATGTGCCATAGATTCACCTGCCCGGACGCTGTGATTTATTCATGATGCCACCGGTGGTTTTTCGTCGCAGGAGAAGTTTCGCGCGTGGTCCTCTTTTCCTGGCGATGCCGAGGACGCCAACGAGTCCGCGGTGCTGGCGGATGTAAGCTCCACATGCTCCAGCAGCTCCAGTGAGGTTTGTGGATCTTGCCGGAAGATGTGGATATGGGTCAATACCTATTAATACCATTTTTAGGGGGATGAACATCCATTTACCAGCTATTTTGATGTTCACCAGGGGTACAAGGTTTTGACACACTGCCATGTCTGAAGGGGAATTGTTTCGGGGAAGTTTCCAGCTCTTGGATGGAGAAAACTCATAGAAAAACAACAATTTTGGGGATGTGGCAAAAATACGAAGATTTGGGGCATGTATCTACCTAAGATGCGGTCGGCTATGCATCTTTTATCATCTTTTTCTATTCAGTCCAAAAAATGTGAGCATGCATGACCTGGCTCCCAAAGTCTCGATTCTCAAAAATCAATTGAACCATCTTGAAATATCTTGAATGTATTCATGTGGGTGTGGGTATGTGTGGGTCCAAATTCATTACTTTTAAACTTACCCCACTTACCCTGTCCCGTCGGCATACTGTGCACCAGTGGCCATTAGATGCTATTATATCATATTATATCATATTATATCATATTATATCATATTATATCCTCGAATTTCAATGAATTTCATGGTTGAGAAATCCACACCTTTGTTGGTAAAGTCCCAAAGTTCAATTCCAAACCACCAACCAGTATATTTATATAGCCATGGAAAATAACCATTTTTAATAGGTAAACCATCTATAAATAGGCCATTTTCCAAAGTTCAATTCTGGTTTCACCGAGTTTTACCCTGTCATCAGCGAGAAACTCGATCGCTGCTTTCGAGCAAGCTGCGCGCTTCCAGATGGTATGTCAGAAACTATGTCAGAATAGTGTGAAAGGGCGGGGATATAGAATAGATATGTAAATCATTGTAAATCATATTGTAGTCATTATTCCATGATAATTCCATGATATATTTATTCCATAATTATCCCTAATATATATGTAAATCCCATGATATTTTCCCATTTTCAGACGCGATCGCAGGTTGCATGGGCCGAGGAGGTCGCAGCCTTCGACGTCGTCGCAGCCGTCCATCCCCGTGCGCGTCCCATGGTGCAGCGGCGTTGCTGGGACGCAAGGGGAGCAAGGCAGGAAGCAACGATTCTTCTGGGGTTCAAACAACGAATATGTGAATTTAACCAGCCAAAATGGTGATTTAACCTGCAAAAAATGGTGATTTAACCAGCAAACAATTGACTTAACCAGCAAATAATGTGAATTCAACCACGCAAAATAGTGTTTAAGCAACCAAAATGGTGTTTCACAAGCCAAATATGGATTGATTTCTATAAGGGAACCTCTAAAGGAAAGCATAGCTTTGGCTCCAAATATGTGTTTTTCAACTGGAGGCTTTCCGTTCAACCAATTCTTGAATAGATAGCCCGACTAGGTGAAAAACCTTAATCGATACCATTGGAAATCGCTGGGCCAAATGTTTTGGCACCCCCATGAAAGACTTAACAGCAATGATAGCCGGGAGCATCATCATGGTTGGTGACTTTTGTGGCTTCAAAATATGTCAAAATGGTGTACTGTACCGGAGTTGTTTGGCCGGTACCTTATCCCGGCTAGATGCTGGTCATCACATGAATTCGTCTTGCTTTACCCTCTGGTAATTTAACATAGCTATTGAAAATGACCATTTATAGTGGATTTTCCCATTGAAAATTGTGATTTTCCATAGCTATGTTAAATTACCAGAGGGTATCAATACGTGCTTCAAGCTGAAAGCACAGCAGTCATAGGATATTTCCGCGATATCTCTCAAGTCTCTGGTAGCTGTGTCCCCCAATTCTTTTTTGCACCGACATGATGGTTCATGCCGTCATTCTCTTGAGTAGAATATAATATAACAATATATATATATACACAACTTGGATCATGATTCATATGATTCCTTCCTGACTGGCAATTCTATCATGTCCCTCTTGTTATTTGATGTTTTGTGTTCAAAGTTTTTAAATCCATCAGAATCAATAGAATACCATGTCCCTCAAATAGATGGATAAATGACATATGTTCATTATATTTATTGTTGGTCATCCATCAATCTCCATCACCAAAAACTGGTGTCTTGAAACACGTTGGAATTGCCAGAAATTTCCCAGGCAAAACCTCCAGGGAGCGTGGTCAGAAGCTCTTCAAACGCCGCTCCGGACCCGTTGGTCGTCCCACGTGGTATGCCACTCATACCGTGGACCCACCGAGGCCACTTGGGCCCCTGTTTTTGCGCAAGAACTGACCCCAAAAAATTTAAAATTTTTGTATATCTGAAAGCAAAAAACCTCAAAAAACCACGAAAATTGGGTATATAGAAGGTTTTGCTCGATGGGAAAAATGGTCCACACGCAGTTGCAAAAACATGGTCCGTTTCGGACGTCCGGCTGATCCCCCTGAGATCTGTTGGAGTACCAGCAGAGCCAGAGGTGCGCGGTTGGAGAGGGTTGAAATGGGTTGAAGGAGAGGATGATGATCCCAAAATCATGAATCTACACATGCAAAAAGGTCATTATGTTGTAAATTAAAGTGATATCTTATGATATTTTGTCAAAGAAATTCAGAGTCCAGAGTGGTGTTAATTTTCACGGGACAAAAGTTGAGTTAAACGATGCGGTCCATTTGAGGTATTTGCGCTGCTTAAATAGGCGAGGTTTCAGCCCTTGGGACTCACAGTGCGGTTCTGGGTGATCAACATATCATAGATTGAAGGTGCGGTCCCACATATTTGGATGATATGGGGTTTATTGCCCAAAGGTAGTACAATGTATTTTGTAGTGTCTTCTTGGTTCTGGCATGGCAACAGGACTTGATTCGGCTTCGAAGCTTGTCATCTTTCAACAGGTAGAGACTGGAAGACAAACGGTTCAACGAGGATAGCTATATAAAGATGTTTAGGGATTTTTTTTCCTGGCTTGCCCAGCTTGCCCAAAACTTTTTCTTCTGGATGCTGTGTGCATTTTCCGGTTACATCAGGGACGCCGTGCCATTTAATTGGTCATAAGTCTAGTTTGCAGACCTCCAACCTATACTATACTAGGTCTGAAAATAAATACTCTAGAGATCTCTAGAGCAATCATCCCCAAAGATGTTGGTTTTTCGTAATGATTTTCCACAGACACACCCGTGCGGCCCTGGGGTCAGGCTGCCAGCCCATCCTTGACGGCGCCTGCGGAACGACTTCAGGCACAGGTGCCGGGGCTCATGGTTCACAGGATAGGGACGTGTCAAGCCAGGTAACGCCCAGTTTACTGGGAGGGTTCATTCAAGATCCAATGTTTTTTCCTCCCCTGGAGCCAATCATTTTGCTCTTTACCCATCTCATGTGATTGGCTCAAACATGAAGGAGCATCTCGTGCAAACGGATGGACTTCATGATATTCGGAAGTCAGAACGGCTTGTCTATGGCTTTAAAAAACAAAGCAGTCATGGTGTGGTCCCGTTACCAGGAAGTGTGTCATCCTGCCTGCGGTTTGCAGCATGATCTTGGGATGCTTTGTTATGTCTGTTAGTTTAGTGGCCTTCCCCTCATTTTCGATTGCGTCCCGGTTTTGATTCGTCAAAATCACAGATAAGTTTTGTCTTATGATGATGTCTTATGCCCACTCTGGTTGATTGCCTACATTGGCCCAACATCATCCGACATCCCTATTTTAGTTGGCATAAAACATCATAGAACCGACTGGTTGGAGCGCCCATTTCCCAAGACAACAACCAGGCTCTGCTTGACCGGTCAGGCCGTTCCCAGCGTCGACTTCCCTGACAAAGCTGCCGCAGCGGCCACGCCAGCAGCGGATGCGGCCACAGCCATGCGGCCCAAGGCACCTGCGGGTTGAAGGAATTCAATGGTACATCATCAAACTAAATGGGGGATCAACAATAGTAATGAACATTATTATACAAAAACACTCTATAATAATGATCAATGATGATGATTCATGGTGTTTTTCCATGGATACTCATGGATATGACTGGGAGTTACCGGAGTTACCCTATCCTTGTGTCATTTTTCACATGGGCTGGACAATCCCCATAAATGGGGGGATTTTCAACTGCCACGTTTGATGACCGGAGGGTATATTCACTTGTTTTGCTGCAGACGGATTGACAAAAATTGAGCCTGCGGACTTGGAGATATTTTGGAAGTTGAAGTCATCAGCAAGAAACGGGGATTGGAATCAAAGCATCATTCTTTCAGGTCAAAATTGAGGTGTCCAAGATTGTCCAAGATATTTTGATAAGAGGTACCAAGATTGTCCAAAATGCCAGAATCTGTGGAGACCGCAGAGGGCTTTAGAAACTTTCGGGTGCATCGCATGAATTGGGGTGAAAGCTCGTATCAGCCGGGATGATGGATTTTCTCCAACTTGGATCATATGAGATAATTTCCCTCATATTTCTAGTTGGAGAACGTTCCAGAAATCCCATCATATTACGAAAGTTATAGTACAAAACACACTGTGGCGCGCAAGCCTAGCATGTTTTTTTTTGTTTTTAATAGTAATAGGTATTTAACTGATCAATTATCTGTAATGATTGTATTATCAGCAGATAAACCGTTTATATAATTATTTGATAGCCCTGGTAATATTTAGCTTGTGACCTATGGTACAGACTATGATATCCAGGACTATCTCATGCCATTTAACTTTAAATTTAGATATCTTTAGATATTTCATAACTTGTAGATATCATTCGATCATATTCAATCAATATTTAAAGTTGATATTGTACAATAATAAGATTAATAAGTGAAAAACACTTTTTTTAAGTGATTTATTTATCGATGTCTATATGTCTTTTCACTGATTTATTGTACACATCTCCTGATCCATGGCTACCGTGCCTCCGCACCGTGGCACCGCTCCAGCCCCAAGAGCTGCTGGAAGATGCAGAGCTGGAACCCTACGCTTCGGCCGCTGCGAGGCGTGGGTAACCCGGTGATCCAAATTGAAGCCACCATGATCCGGGTACATCCGGGTACCCCAGAATGGATGGTTTATCAATGTTTATAATTTGGGTAGATTCTATATGATTCTATAACCTGTGGGCATAGGTTTCTAGTAGGTACAGGAGGGTCCATGGCAGGCCTAATTGGCAGGGGTGGCGTCGACATGGCGACTACATTGCGGTGACATGGCGACACCATGACGACGACACGGCGATGACATCACGACGACGTGACGACGACATGGCGACGACACGACGACGACATGGCGACGACGTGACAACGACATGGCAACGATGCCACGTTGCCGCCACATCGCCGGCACATTGCAGCCATATTGCCACCACATCGCCGCCACATTGCCGCCACATTGGTTGCCACAACTGCCACAAGACCTTATTTTTTCCACAAGACCTTATGTGGCGGCGATGTGGTGGCAACGTTGCATCGTCACCATGTCGTTGCCATGTCGTTGTCACGTCGTCGTCATCTCGTCGTCGTGTCGTCGCGATGTTGTCGTCACTTCATCGCCATGTTGTTGTCACTTCGTCGTCATGTCGTCACCATGCCCTGGCCATGTCATCGCCATGTCGTCGTGGTTGTGTGGTTTCTTTGTTGCCTTCAATTTGAGGGTGCTCACTAACAGAGGCCTTTAGGCCCTAGCTAATTTATAAGGGTAAATCATGGTAAATCCGTGAAAATCCTATATTAAGCCCAATAGCTGGATGGTTTATAAATGTTTATGGAACATCTTATATATTAACATGGATGATTAAAATGGGTAGCCCCATGGGGATCCACCATGTTTTTCTAGAAAGAAACATAAAGAAACCTATGATTGGGATGATCAGAATTTAGGGGATGAATTGAGCAGCTGAGCATCGCAATTAAATGATTGCAACTAATGCTTGTATAATGAAAGATAATAACATATCATATATATATAATATAATTATAGTTATACATATCTATATATACATAATGACGATCTTTAAGATGATATTAAGATATTTTAAGATTAATTCAAGTAAGTTTAGAGAGATCACAAGAAACATAATTTTAGGCATCACCCATAGCTTGGTTTACCTATGGTTTAACCTTTCCACTGATGTGCCGCGGATTTTCTTCCGTAGGTTTCGTGCTGAGATGGAGTTCTTGGACATGCCGCCGTGCCACGTCTTTCCGATGTCCAATGGTTTCAGAGGGAGAAAACCTGCTGCCTACTAGAGATACGGCCGAATTAGTATCAGATATTATCAGATGAAAAATGATAAAAGTCAAAGTCTCAGAAATCTCAGACTCTTTTTTGAGGTGCTTCCCGAAGGTTGATGACATTTTGCATGTTTACCTGAAAGCTCCATTCGCCTTGAACATCCTTGAACCCTCCGCCGGCTCCTGGAGAATATGCCAGGTCCAGTTTTCCAGCCAGTCCTGAAGTGTGCCTCGGCTGTTCCAACGTGTTGACTACGCTGGATTCGAATTGCAAGTCACATGAACCCCCCGTTGACGATTAATTATAGGGGATGAATAGGGGATTAATAGGGGATGAATAGGGGATTGTTCAATTTCTTGGGGACTTAATCTATCGCCACGGAAGATGGGCCAAACATGGATGGCCATGGCCCATGGCCCAGGAAGTTTCGACGTCGAAGCTCCGAAGCACGCTTGCCCTATGCACGGGGCTGAGGAGTTGGTTGGTTTTTATGGTTGGTTGGAATTTTATGAATGGACAATTTGACTGGATTTATGTTGGGTTTATGTTGGTTGAGCCAACCTATGCCAACCTCACTTGGGATACTCAGGATATCTCAGGATTGGATGAGGTTTCTTTCTGACCATTAGAAGGCTTGATTTGATGTTCTTTCTGACCATTTGAAAAGCTGGGGTGCCTGCTGCCCAATACCTGTGATTGGTGGTGTTTGAAAATAAACAAATCGGCAGCAGTGGACACTTGGTTCCAAGGGATCGCAATAATATCTTCTGGGGTGGTATGTTTCTTGAATTTGTATGGATTTGTCAATTTTGTCAACAAGGAGCTGAGTTCAAAGATTCACATGTGGACGGATGTAAATGAAGTTGTGGTTGTGCGGCTAGCATTTGCATAGTTCCGTCTCTCGTGTATTGATGATATATGTATATAATATACCTGGTTGGTGGTTTGGAACATTTTTTATTTTCCATATATGGCATGTCATCCTTAACCCATTGACGAAGTGCATCATTTTTCGGGGTCCCAGGTCGATCCAATTTTCGGCCATCGCTAAGGATAAGACCAGGCCCTTGGGCTTGGTCATTGACATTGAGGCCGCTGGCAGCGCTTGGAAGAGATTTTTGGAGAGTCCCCTGTGAAAAATGGGCATCTATGATAAATCCATGAATAATCATGGTATGATAAGAAAGTCCTGTTAATTATAAATCCATTGTGACTAATCCAGATTATTATATGATAAGAATCTGTAATTAATCACAATTCCAGAACCTGTCTACTACATACTATGAAACGATCGTTTCATGGTTCAATGTCAACGTTCAAGAGATTATGTACCACAATTCCTCAAGCAGGACTTTTAAGTTGTGTATTCAGGAACAAAAATGGGTATGGATTGATAGTGCTCCCCCCGTTTATGTTTGGAGTCATCTAAACTGCACTCTCTAAACCAAGTCAAGGAAATGAGACGGGCTTGCCCCATTGTTTTTTACTGCTCTCAATTTTATCGGCTCATGTTCATTTTTCTCCTTATATATATAGAGTTTGTGGAGTGCGTTGGCTTCTTTATTTGCCATTTCTGTAAAATCCAGAAACTATTTCTTGCACAGGTGGAAACCATTTGCTAAATACTAGAAACTATTTGCTAAATACTAGAAACTATTTGCTAAATACTGGAAACTATTTGCTAAATACTGGAAACCATTTGCTAAATACTAGAAACCATTTGCTAAATACTAGAAACTATTTGCCAAATTCTGGAAACCATGTGCAAAAAACTAGAAACCATTTGCTAAATACTAGACACCATCTGCTAAATAAGTAGGATATGTAGAAACTCTTTTTCCCGTAAAGTAGAACATGTAGAAACCATTTGCTAAATCATGTTGATTTCCCAGAAACCATTACTTGAATCAAAGGGGTAATATTTGCAAGTAAAAGTTGATATTGACCATGTTGTCAGGGCAAACCTGGTCAATCTTGGAACACGCATTTGCCAATGGTAGTTTGTGGTGAGAAAGAACTAATGTCTTTACCGCACATGCCCGTTTAATAGTACTAGAGCCTCCTTCACCCATGGCTCACCAAACTGAAACTGTTGACGCTTGAAACTTGAAACCATCTAGACTCCAATTGGGAGTACTATCGCGCCATACCAGTTGCAATGCTGTTTCAATCCAGGAAAGGGTTTGTCAAACAGCAACATAAACACATACCCTGTCCCAGCGCAGTTTTCGCCAAATGCACCATACAACGCCGCGAATAATTCCACACGCGATACCCACAAGTTGTGGGATGAAAAAAAATTGCTCCCCAAACAAAACCATGTGGCTGATAGCCTTTGCGGGTGAGTTGGGGGATGGTGTTAGCAGGCCTTTGCCACATGGCATTTTAGACACCTCAGAGGATACCCAAGTCAGGGGTTTCCCCCAAAAGTCCGGACTGGTGTGTGCCTGAACTTTTCTCTATTTGTCAAGGTCTGTCGCGGGAGCCCGGGGGGTCCGGTTTCGTCGGGAGGCTACCAGCTTAACCTTCCTAAGAGGTAAATATGAAAGGAAACTATTTCTTAAATCCTGGAAACTATTTCTTAAATATTTCTTAAATCCTAGAAACTATTTCTTAATCCGGGCCCCAAACCCAGAAACCATTTACAAAATCAGGATTGCTTTTACCAATCCCAACCATTGGACAAGGATAGAAGTCAATCACTTAAAGTCCAGAGATTGCCCCAGACAAGTGAGCCATGTTCTCACCGAGAGAGAGAGGCTGCCACGCAGGCACCCTTCATTCTGTTTCGTTCTATGTTCATTCTGTTTCGTTCTATGTTCTTTGACTCCTCATCTCAGAATCAGTCACTGTTTCTTTCTTACTTTTCAATCTGTAAGGAGTTTCAATATGTCATAATGTGTCTATATGTGTCTATATTTGTCAACTTAGGTTTTATTTATCTTTATTGGTATATTGTCTTGTTAGATGATTTAAGGCACAGTAAGGGTATCACAGAAACCGTTTCAAACCGTTTCCCGCTACTTGCTAGGTAATAGTCCGAAACCGTCCGAAACCGTTTCCTACTATTTGCTAATTCACCCTGGCAAAGACTGCAAATAGTTTCAAACAGTTTCAATTAGTTTCAAATAGTTTCAAATAGTTTCTGAGAATGGCTCATTAGCAAATAGTCCGAAACCGTTTCAAACCGTTTCCCGCTACTTGCTAGGTAATAGTCCGAAACCGTTTCAAACCGTTTCAAACCAATCCCTAGAAGGCGTAACTTGAATTACTTTTTTAGTTTTTTTTTATTAATGCATTTTTTGAGGTAATTTCCAAAAGTTTCCAAAACTTCCATTTATTTAGGAAATAGTTTCTGCAAATTGGGTTGATTTAAGAAATAGTTTCTGTAAATTGGGTTTGTTTAAGAAATAGTTTCAATTAGTTTCCCAACTTAGGGTTGATTTAGGAAATAGTTTCTGTAAATTGGGTTTATTTAAGAAATAGTTTCTGGCCTCCACAGACCAAGAGGCCAAGGCACTCCCCAATATAGAGTACATTGTAATCAAATAGAGTACACCTTGGTTATTCCCATCTTGCTGTACGGCATGCCTGGTTCACATGTTCAAAGTGATCAAAGATGATCAACATTTGGCAGGTAAACTTGGGGGTATAGGACCATCATGGACCATCCAATACGATCTAACTGGTTTCCCATTTTTGTAATCGGCAATGATAGTTTGGGGGAGTTGGCAAGACAATTTTCTTTCTTGAACATAAGTGTATCATATGATACATAATGATGATATATCGTCCATATACACAGTCCATATACACATAAACAATAGCATATAATGACAATGGCAGCATATATGTATGTATATATATATATATATGGCACAATTTATTTGATATACACATATAATATCATATAATGGCACCATGTAATATCATATTATATTGCCATTTGTATCATATGATCTTTAAATGGCCCTTTCTGTTTGCCCAAAAAATCGCGCATTGAACACCGCCGCTCATCCCACGAGGCTGAAGTGGTGGGACCCCCAGCACCACCGCCTTCCACCAGTCATTCCATGCTGCTGCACACGCATTTGGAGGTCGACCTTGGTTAACGATCTTGCCCTTTGTGCTGTTGAACATGTTGAACACTGAAAAAAACCATTGGTTAACCATGGTTAACCAATGATTTTCTTGGGCATGGCATGGTATGGCCATCATGATGGCATAGCCAAATGGTCTTTTTTGTCTAAACTCTTTGGAGGTTTGAAACACACCGTGCTTTAGACCCGACATTGCCATCACTTGATGTTTCATGTGGGTTCGAAACCTTGGCTAGAAAGAGGACTGCCAGGGGGGCTCGGGATTGCCAATTTGAAAGTAAGTGCGGCTGGGGGGTACAACGCATTACAACGTAGTTGCGCATTGAACTTCATCGGATTTAAAGGTTTTTAGTGGTTTTAGAGGTTTTCACCCATAGCCATGGCTAAAGAGGGATACTGATGACTGCCAGGTGCATTTTCAATGAGGAACCAACACTTTCTGTTTGACAAACATGGTTGCCCCATGTTGCCCCACCATCGCCTCACAATGGTTGTGTTCATTGTCATTGTCATTGTCATTGTTGTCGTCGTCGTCATCATCATCATCATTCAGTCACGTGTTGTGGATTGTTTGTTTTGATGTTGATTTTGGTCTTGTAGTTTTTTTTTCCCATATGTTGTTTGAGCGGAAAGTTGGCCAGAGTTTCCAGTCACCCAGATGAGCCGACTGGGCCAGGCAAAGGACCCTCTGAAAGGTTGGAAACAGTTGCTGGTGAAGACTGGGTTGGGAAACCCTGGTGGAAAGGGCACCTGGGAAGGATAGAACATATGGAAACAAGGAGCTGAACGGAGATGAGGGGCATGAAATACAACATAATATAACAACATTTGTTGCGGCAAAACGCTGCGGTGTCACACAATCCCTCCACCGCGAAGTTGTGGAGTTGAGTGAAGACTTTAGCTGCTCCTGGCCTCCTGGCAGTTGCGTGAAGTTCTCGGAAAATTTTGGATGCCAAGTTGGCTTCGGATATTCACCAGCTACGGCACTTTTTTGATGGGTTGTTTTCATGACATGTTCAAAATTCGATCAAAACACTGGATAGCTTTTGACGGACTTGGCCTGCAACTAGGTTCAAAAACAGACTCCGGACGCGCATCGCTGGAAACTTTCGCCCAGGTTGATGGCTCGACGTGCAAGACGCTCAAGCTGTATCAAACTGATGGTGTTGAGAGGCGGCTTACTGAGGGGGTGCAGGGTTGGTGACTGCTGTTTGGGTGAGGAATCTTCAACGGGAACAAACCAATCATAGGAACTAAGGCAATGGCATTAAGGAAAGAACTAAATGCAGGCTGATAGTTTCACATTTTTTAAAAATACTTTCTAGGACCGGGACTCCCACTTGACTGGAAGGGAATTGAATCGTCATTATGTCATGTGAGCCGAAGATATTTAAGTGAGAACTAAGGATTGTTTACATCACTCCCATTCACTCCCTATGTTCTTGTTGAAAGCAAGGATTCTGATAGATTTCTGCCCGGGGCACCAGCTCCTCTTGTTTGAGGTTGGCGGAGTTGCTGCGTAAGGCGCCAGAAAATCTGGGGCATTCATTTATCTCCAATCTATGTCCATCCTTGTTGCCATTTTGAAGGTGTTTTTTGATGTTTTTTGTAAATGTAGAATTATTGGAGCCTCGAGGGCTGTGTTTTGCTGGACATGAGCACTTGTTGCTTGATGTTGGTTCTGAACATCTGCACCAAAACAGTGCCGATTTTGATGCGTAGGCGTAGTTACGTAGTTGGTGATTTCGAAAAAAGGTCACAGGGCTACGGCTGTCAAAATTAGAGGATCCGTTGGGATCCAATGATGTACTTCTTATGCTGCTTATGTTCATGACTTCAAACCTTTCGATTTCGGGAGTCTACTCCACATGGGTGTGTCTAGGTCCTCGCAGCCAGACGACAGAGCTTGACATGAGTGGACACACAATCTGCATATTATCTGCATCATAGTGAGATGTCTTACCGCATCCCCCGTTTTTTTAGTTCTTTGAATTGGTAGAAGGGAAAATCTACAGGAAAACCTACAGGAAAACATACCGATCAATCCATTGGATCGCCGATGGCGGAAGGGACCGATGTTGGAGGACTCCCAGAATTTTTTTAGGACATGCCTGGAACCTTTGCTGAAAAAAAACAACGGGTTTCAAGTTTCAACTGTAGAATTTCGGAAGGAACAGCATTCCATTGACTATCAAGTTTGATCATTAAACAATATTAAACATATTAAACCTCTATGAAATCCTTGATTCTTGATGGTTAACTTCTTTTTGATTGACCTAAACTCCAACATTTTCCACCCTTCCAGGCCTGCAAAAGCTGGATTGGCCAGCGCGGCAGTACATCAGCCCAACATGGCAGCCAGGCGACCAGCGGAAAAAAAACCATCAGCTGCGATGATTTCCAACGAAATATTACTTTATAATATAATATATATAATATATTAACATATAATATATATATAATATATTAACATATAATATATATATATAATATTAACATATAATATAATATATTAATATAATTTGATATAATGATATATATATATATAAATATAATATAGTTATTTATACATATCATATTTATTTTGTTGGTCTTGAAACTAGAGTACTGTGCACTAAAAATATCCATTAGTTTGATCATCTTCTGTGAATGGGGATATCAGAGGAGTTGCAGCATTCGATTTCCCTGGACAACATAATAAGTTGCTCAGACTTTGCACTCCTTCTGGTGCGAATTGTGTTGTTTTGGAATTGGGCGACCATCGGTAAGGGTCTAAAATATTCGATAACCTTGATGATTTTCGTGTTAGAATTGGTTCTATATCCATGACATGACTCTTGCTTTTTTGCTCGCTTGACCGACCAGTCTCCTGTAGGAATGGCTGTGGTTGGCCGCAGGGTCTAACAACTCAGATCTCACAGTGCTCACCCTGCCCTGCAGTACGCCAAAATGAAACTGTTCCAGCAAGGTTTCTAGGGGTGCTGCTGCTCAATCTTCACTCATCTTCACATGGTCTGTCTGGAGATGGATACCCCCAAGTGGCAATGAAAAGATGAAATCATGATAGTCATGGTGGGTAAAAAAAAACAACCTGTTTTCAGACTATACCATATGGGGCAGATGGGTTTGTGTGAAAATATGGTACCTCCTAAAATCCACTGCTTAGTTATCTTCCCCTTCAAGCCCGATCAATTGGGCATATATTTCCATTATGAGACAGACCTAAAACATCCTAGAACCACACTGTTGGCTATCTCTTCCCCAATATTGCAATACTGTTACATCCCCAAGAAATACACGTAACGAAAAACGATCTTTTGTCCCCGTTGTATACCCATTATACAAACACGCATTGTATATCCATTGTATCCCCATTGTACATGGTATATCGTGCCATATATCTTCACCGGACGTGGCACGATTCGACGATTCTCCAGGCGGCCGAGCAAAGTGACAGGCAGCCTCCAGTTCTAGGCATCCCACGGGATTATTTCATACCCATAGGATCCATGGTGCTGCTATATATGGTAACATGGATCCCATCAATATAGTCAATATACCCCAAATGTTAGCATTAATATATTTATATATCCTATACATGGATCCTATGGGATATCTCATTCTGAGACCAGAAGTTTGCTTTTTCGGTTAATCTACAAAACAATCGAAGGTAGTTGACTATCATTGTCCACTTTTTCTTGTAAGACTAAAATCGCATCTTTCAGGGCTTGCTATCAACTGATTCCCACCGATTTTGTGAGAAGTTGTGATTGAGTCGACCACAATGTTCACAGGCCAGAGGTTTTGCCCAGCACAACCAACCATGAAACCTCTCCGTCGTTTGCTTGGCAGGTTCTTTTGAGTCAACCGTAGGTCTTGCAGCAATCTGTTAAAACGACGGAGTCGCGCAAGAGAAGTTTCCGTGGTCAATGAAGAACCCAAATCTGGCGAAGTTGAATCACACTGCCGCCAAAAAGTTGATGTTTTATTAAAGGCCTCCACTGCAATGGTAGCTACTTGGGTAGGTACATTCTGGTACATTCTGGTACATTGGCATATGATTGGATATGGTGGTATATGACGGTATATGACGGTAATTCATTAATGATATGATATTATGTGAATAGTAAATAATGCCATGCTGAGTGTATGATGGTAAGAAGCTACCCATGTGTGTATCGGGGCGTAGAACCATTGATATCTCAACTGCATGATCGATGCAATTCAATCCATGGTTGGGTCTCTCTGAAGCAACACTGGACGATTTAACTGAATTCCCGCTCCTCTGGCGAAAGCTCATGATTGGAAACCGTCGAATGGAAGGAACTCAGACAACTTGAAGAAAAAATATCGCTTTGCTATGGTTTGTTCCCCAATTGATCTTCCAGTAGTTTTGTGTATTTTTGATGTCCTTGACAAATCATTGATACCAGTGTAGAAACGACAAGCTGAAGTAGCTGGAGCTCAAGCAGTGTCCTCAGACACTCAGCTAGTGGGTTTCCTCTTAGAGGCACTATGGTACAATTGCAAATATATGATTCCGAAAAAATATAAAATATAACGACCTCACTGCGACCTTGCTATAAAATGATGGTTTTTAAACGATAAACGGGTAACTATCCCAGAACGGCCGAACCTTTCAGGTCGTCAGGTTGGTGAATTCGTATATAATTTATCAGAGTGATTTTATGCCTTTCCATTGCACTTATAAATCTTACTGGTATAGTCTGATTACTGTCATGCTCATGGGGAAACAGGTTTTTTTTAACCGGAGGTGTTCGGAGATGTTTTCCCATGGCCCAATTGATAAGTTGCCGACCTGAGCGCCGAGGTCAGCGGGTCCCACCGAGATTTGGCAGCCATGGGGAGCCCAAATTTCGGAGTTTCACCTGAGCACACCATAAAGTGATGGATTTGGGACATCGTTTTGCAACAATGACATTCGGAGTCTGTAGTTTTCAAGTCATTTTATTGATGTCTCTTGCCGCGGTACGAGTGTTTTGGAGGATGCGCGTTGACTGACAGCTTCAGCCTGCCTCAAAAAGCCATGGCGGAGAATCAGACACAACCACCTGATGGAACGCTGAATCCCTCTGCATGTTTTTTTTTGAGCCTCACATGGAAGATATGATGAGAATTGGATCGAGATATAGCAGATATGGGAGGTCTGGAGGTGGAGTTTCGCTCCAATGACGTTCAGCTCCATGATCCAGGCTAACGACTTACTTCGATAATCCCCAAAGTCGGGAGGCAGGTAGTATAGACGGTATAGACGGTATAGACGGTATAGACGGTATAGACGGTACAGATATGAATTTGAAATGAATTGACATATATTGAAATATGAATTGACATGATATGAAAAGCCGAAAAGCCGCTTCGCAGGTGTTCTGTGCAAATGCTGGTGACTCAAGATGTGTTCTGGCCAGGCACTGTGCACAATGGGTGGGTTGAAGGATGTTGGAAGCGGCACACAGACAGCAGATGGGGTTTATTGTTGGTTGTGTTTGTATCCGTTCTTGGGAGAGACACATGTCTCCTACTCTTTCGGAGAGGTAACAAAGGTTGACTATACGTCATCATACAGCATTGATGTATAGACGGCGCCGCGGCATTGATATACCTCACCTTCTGGAAAGTTCCCCAGTCGGCTGCAGGGGTGAGCGTGCCAAGAACATGTCGCGAGACCACAAGCCCGAGCTGAAGAGTGAGAGAAATCGCATTTACAAGGCCACTTGGTGCGAAGATTTTGCTGCTTGTAGA